CACGAACCCGTGTCCCCTGCATCGGCAGGCGGACTCTCAACCACTGAGCCACCAGGGAAGCCCTTAACTAGCTCTTTTTTACATGAACTAGCTGCAGGCCCCTGGTTAAGGAACACTGATAGTTACTGTCAAAGCGAACATTAGTCAGTTTCCCGCGTGCAGAGGCACCAAGTGTTTGACACGGATAAATCCGTTGAACCCTGACGACATCCCTCCATGGCGTGATTGTTACCCCATTTTACATATGAGAAAGCTGAGGCACAGAGAGGTCAAGCAGCTCAAAGATACATAACCAGCAAGTGGGCAGAAAGTGGCCTCCTCATGGGACTAGGGTGGGATGCAGCTGGGTCTTAGGAAGTTTCGAGAGGCCCAGCCTGAAAACCCTGAGGCTCCTTCTCCTTTGCCTCTGCTCCTCTGAGAGCTGGTGTCCTGCATCTCTCAACAGACCCGCTTCCTTAGTTTCTCTCATCCTCTGTGGGGAGGTGTTCAATGCCCTCCCCACAGCTCCCAGCCCCGCAAAGAAAGATGCTTGTTGCTGGTTCCAAGTTTCCAGGGCAGGTAATTCCGACTGGCCCAGCTGGGGTCAGGTGCCCATCCCCGGACCCAGCATCCCTCGGGTAGCAGCACCACACCATTTCAAAGGCTGCCCTGGCTCACCGCATGGGGGCAGGCAAGGAGCTCATCAATTTGAGCAGACGCGGCCCCCCCCAGACGCCCACTGCGCCTCCCTACTTCGCAGGGAATCCTCAGTGCCAAGGCTTTTCCCCCGGCTTCGCACACGACGCCTTCCCCGGCCTCCCAGGCCTCCCAGCTGCTGTGGACTCCTCATCGTGGCCCTCCACCCACCTTCCCATCCCAGCTCCCTGGCTGCCCACGGGAACCAGGCCCTCCAAACATCTATGTCCGGACTCACTTCTTCTGCCAAGCCCACACTCCTAATCTCTCCTCTATCCTGAAATCAGAAAGCATTCCAGCGAGCAATGGGCTTTTTCGGAAAGTCTCACCCTCCTTAACCCCCTCCAATGGCTCCCTGGGCTCTTGGAAGAGGCTCTTAACCACAGCCAACAAGAACCACTCGTGGGACTTCCCTGGTGGCACAGTGGTTGAGAGTCCGCCTGCCAATGCCGGGGACATGGGTTCGGGCCCTGGTCTGGGAAGATCCCACATGCCGCGGAGCAACTAAGCCCGTGCGCCACAACTACTGAGCCTGCGTGCTGCAACTACTGAAGCCCGCGAGCCTAGAGCCCGTGCTCTGCAACAAGAGAAGCCACCACAGTGAGAAGCCCATGCACTGCAACCAAGAGTAGTCCCCGCTCACTGCAACCAGAGAAAGCCCGCATGCGTCATTGTCATCGTGCAGCAACGAAGACCCAACGCAGCCAAAAATAAACAAACACATAAATAAATAAATAAAAGAACCACACCCGCATCCTCTGGCCCCAATGGCTTCCTCTCTGTTCTGAAGCTCACCCAGCCCCGTCCCGACTCTGCACCCGCCTACCCCTCTGCTGGCGATGAGTCCCCAGCCCATCTTCATCCCTGGGGTTCAACTCAGATGTCACCTCCTCAGAGAGGCCTGTGGACCACCTCGCCTTATGTGGCCTCGCATCTCCAGCCCATCACCTGTGCCTTCCATAGCCCCTCTCACCATCTGGAATTCTGTTTGTTTCTTTGCTGACATGTACACCAATCTCACTCTCCCCTAGGTCAGCACCGTGAGGGCAGAGCCATGTGCCACGGTCACCGGTCACCGGTCACCGCTGTGTCCCAGCACCCAGCCCTAGGTCTGGGGCCGAGGAGGCTTGGATGGATGAATGGATGGATGGGTGGGTTTTATTATCATGATTTACAAGTACCCCTCCCAGAAAGAGATAAAGTCAGCCTTTTGGAAACTGTTTTCCAACTTTAAACAAGTTTCTAGCTAATAATGCCATAGAGTAAACCACTTTGTTTACATACTGTGGCATTTATTTTGCAACTGGTTACATTTGCACAAAGCTGGAAACTCCATATGTATCCATAACATCAAAACGTATATATAGGGCTTCTCTGGTGGCCCAGTGGCTGAGAATCCGCCTGCCAATGCAGGGGACACGGGTTCGAACCCTGGTCTGGGAAGATCCCACATGCCGCGGAGCAACTAAGCCTGTGAGCCACAACTACTGAGCCTGCGCTCTAGAGCCCGTGAGACACAACTACTGAGCCCGCGTGTCGCACCTACTGAAGCCCACGTGCCTAGAGCCCATGCTCCGCAACAAGAGAAGCCACCGCAGTGAGAAGACTGCACCGCAAAGAAGAGTAGCCCCCACTCCTTGCAACTAGAGGAAGCCCGTGTGCAGCAACAACGACCCAACACAGCCAAAAATAAATAAATAAAATAGATTTAAAAAAAAAAATATATATATATATATATATATGTGTGTGTGTACACACACAAAGACACACATACACTTACTTCCCTTTTGTTCATAGCCAAGGTGCATATTTGCTTTAAGCCTTTCTGGGCTAAAATTGTCATGGCCATAACAAGGGATAAAAAGGGATGGGGTGGTGCCTCTGCCTGGGGTTGGAGCAGACCCAGGGGTTCACCCTCAGGCCACCCTGTACGGAAGCACCGCAGACTTCCATTCAGCTGTGAGTCCAGGTCAAGATCCCCAACTGTCACCAAAGAATGTCACTCTCACTCTTGAACAGACTGGCACCGGTGTGGGTGCCATTTCTTAACTGTCAAGCCAGACTAGATGCCTCCCAGGGACTTGCTAGGAAAGGCAGGCTGTCTTATCACTGTCTCATTATCCAGCAAAATCCCCACGGAGAGAAAGACTTAAGGAGAATGCAGCAGGGACACGCAGACCAGCTACTGCTCTGGCCGGGGCTCTGAGAGGCCTGCCAGGGCCAGAGAGACAAGAGGGATGAGTGGAGAGGGCTGGGCTGGGGACTGGACCCGCTAGAGGGTCACCCCACACGGGGGCTCACAGGAAGGCTACTTGTGTGGCCACATCTTCCTTCTCTCAAGAGAAGCCAGACATTTGAATTTGTACATGAAATCGCCCCATGTTTAGCTTTTGGAAACAAAGCTACCAGCTATCGATTTGCAGCCTGAGCTCTGGATGCAGTGGACATGGGGCCTGCAGGGCGACCTCTGGGCATCCTCAGGCACTGGGCTTTGATGACATCCTCAGCCCACACGACAGTGTGTGAGAAGCAGCCCCACGAAACATCCGTGCATGAGATGTGTGACTCTTGCGGGGATTTGTCACGTCACTGTGTCCTTCTGACACTTTCAGGAGAAATTTCTCTCTGGGCCCAGTGTCAGAAATGGCCGTGCTTCTCCTACCACACAGTGGGGGATTTATTTCAGGAACACTCTGACTAGGGCAAGTGATGTGTTCTCCTCTCTGCTGTAGACCAGGAGGCCTAAAGGCAAGTCTGTGGCCATCTCCAGCAAGTGCCTAGGGCCTCAGGATTTTGTGACCAGCAGGTCACAGCAAGAATAATATCTTGCTGCCATATGCTAATTAACACTCTGCTTTGAAATCCCCTTTAGAAATAGTCGGGGTGTGAATGAATTCATTTGAATCAAAATCAAGGGGATATGGTTCTGGGGAAACTGCATCCATCATCCCTGTTCCGTAGCTAACTGTGCCACCCCAGGAGGGTCATTGATTGTCTCTGAGCTTCTCCCCTGATCCGCAAAATGGGCAGCTAACCTCCTGCTCTTCCAGCCTCCAAGGTGGGTGGCAGGGACTGAGGGAGGAGCTTGTGCAGAGGGGACAGGGTCTCAACAGATGTGTCTGTGGATGGAGTCTGGACTCCAACAGGAGGGCTTCTAGGAGGAGGTGACACCTGGCCACGCCCTGGGTGCTTACCTCTGCTGAGCTCATTGTCAGCTAGACCACTGGTTCCCAAATACAGACCAGGACTTTGGTGACTGTCTTTCTTTGGAAGGATTATCTTTTTTTTTTTTTTTTAAGTATAGTTGATTTACAATATTGTGTTAGTTTCAGGTGTACAGCAAAGTGATTCAGTTATACATTTTTTTTTTCAGGTTATTTTCCATTACAGGCTATTACAAGGTATCGAATATTGTTCCCTGTGTTAGACAGTGAATCCTTGCTGCTTATCTACTGTAATATATAGTAGTGTGTATCTGTTAACGGAAGGATTCTCTTTGATTCTGACATTCTATCCTTGCTTCCTACTCCCTAGGCTGGTGAGTGGGTCAACTTTTCCAAAGCGATGGCAAAGCTGGGGGCAGCTGCTGTTTTTAACTTCTTGGCAGGCGCGATGTTGGCACCTTTTACGAGAGTCCCCTAAGACTGCCTTTGGAAGTTTTATACAGGTGCACTGAATTCACAATCTTGCAGGGACTCTAAGTCCTTTTGGAGGCAGAGACCCCATGTTGCATGCGTATGTGCTGCCCAAAAGACAGACCCCAGATTCAGGGGAGAGGCTGAGCCCTGCCCGCCTACTGGACTTACAGACACCTGGTACCGCACGTCCGAAGTCCACACCTCCTCGTCCCCCACCACACACGGGATGGCTTCCGTCCGGCCCTTCAGCTCCTTCAAGGCCTGGGGAGAGGAGAGGTCAGATGAGCACTTCCTTCCCCTCTACTTCCCGCCTAAAACACCGATGCGGAGTCTGCCAACGCGGATGCCCAGGAAGGAATAGAAATGAGGAGGGGGCTGGGCGGGGTCCGTGGTCAGAGATGCAGTGATTGCTCCCCAGGGGCGGGGGAAGACTCAGCTGCCGCACTGTCACTTCCTGTCCTGCAGGAAGGTAAGGCCAGTGTTGCCAGGTCTTCCCATTAGAGAAAAGATTTAAAAACCTGTGTCTGAAATTTATGTGAAATCTCACAATTTTAGAACACTGGCAATTAATGGGAGAATTCTTTTTTTTTTTTTTTTTTTGGTCCAACCTTCCTTGACATGTTTATCCCTGATGATCCTGTGACCCACCTTCCCACCCCCTTCCCAACCCCTGCAGCAGGCTTCACGTCACATCTGCCTTGTCCTAAAGGGGGAATTTTTTTTTTTTTTTTTTTTTTTGGCCACACCTTGCGGCCTTGCGGCTTGTGGGATCTTAGTTCCCTGACCAGGGACTGAACACGCGCCCTCGGCAATGAAGGTGCAGAGTCCTAACCACTGGACTGCCAGGGAATTCCCAGGAAAATGTGTTTAAGCATAAAATATCTGTGGACTTATGACCCCTGACCTGGCACCCCAGGTTGCCACCCTGCTGCTCCCAGGTCCCCCACCCCCCCTCCAGATGCACAGCTCTCCCCAGATTCCCAGTTTCCTCCCGGGGCTGGGAGCAGAGGCAGGAGAGCATGGGTGGCTGTCGGCATGGAGAGGTATCATGGGGGCTGCTGAAGGCGTCTCTGGCCCAGGCCCTGCACCACTGGGTGCCCCCCACCCTCCCATTACCTTCTGCAGTGCATCTCGCTCAGGGCTGCCCTGCGTGAATGCCAAGACGGGCTCATTGGCCACCTTCAGGGAGGAGACGTGCTTCCAACACAGCCTGGGGAGCGAGGGTGGGGAACAGAGGTGGACAGGTCAGCAGTGGCCACCACCAGCCCCAGCCCTTCTGTCTCCGACAGGGGGTCCTAGGTTGGCCCAGCATCTTGAAATCCGGAGCAACTATAGAACTGGGGGACGAGAACCAGCCTTGGGATCCAAAACCCAAGTTCAAGTCCAGACCCTATCACTTTGTGTCCTCGGGCATGTGACCTGCCTCCTCTCAGCCTATTTCTCCACCTATCAAGTGAGAATAATCATAGAAACTCACATGGTTGCCTGAAGTTTTTTTGTTTTCTTTTGTTTTGTTTTGTTTCCTGGCCGCACTGCACATCACATGGGATCTTAGTTCTGCGACCAGGGGTTGAACCTGTGCCCCCTGCAATGGAAGCGCAGAGTCCTAACCACTGGACCACCAGAGAAGTCCCTGGTTGCCTGAAGTTTAAATTCATAGGTGCAAAACCATGGCTTAGTGTTTTGCACATAGAGAAGTCTTATTCTCCCTTTATTTCCCCACAATGCAGACTTTCTTCCAAACAGACCCGAGTTACTTCTTTCTCTAAGCAGGAAAGTCAGAGCATTCCAGAGCTCAGTCTCATCAGAATGTGAAACAGCTGAGACTCCCTTGGCACAAAGAGCTGGGCTCCGGGTGGGCAAGAAGGGCCAAGAGGTGGGCCGTGAACTTGGAGGAGTAACTCCGAGCTCGCTTCACAGACTCAGGGAGAGCTGCTGTTGGGGTATGGGCTCTGATTCCTGGGTACTGAGCTCCAAGAACTCCTTGTGCTGCAGACGCCATTCAATCTTAACCTGTATGACCTCACTGATTAGTGCCCACCAGCGGCCTCCACCCCTAATGTATCTGGGGGTCCCAGGGTGGGAGGACAGGTGGGTAAGAGTCAGTCACTCCACCCACGGACGTAGAGAACAGACTTGTGGTTGCCAAGGGGGGAGGGGGTTGAGGGAGGGATGTAGTGGGAGGTTGGGATTAGATGTGAGCTACCGTATGGATATACGGATAAACAACAAGCACAGGGAACTATATTCAATATCCTGTGATAAACCACAGTGGAAAAGCATATTTAAAAAAAGAAAGTACATACATGTATAACTGAGTCACTCTGCTGTACAGCAGAAACTAACACAACACTGTAGGTCAGCAATACTTCTATTAAAAATGTTTTTTGTTAACGAAGAATTATTGTTCACAAGTGATCCCAAATAAGCCACACAGTATTCTATTGTCTTAATACTGGTGAAAACGGTATATCAACAAAATAACATATACTTAAATGAAAAGAGTTGTAAATACAGCCTTAAAATTTTTCAAAAACAAAACAAAACAAAAAAAGAGTCAGTCATTCCAGAGCTGGAGGAACCCCAGTGGTGGGACTGCCCCTCCAGGCCTCAGTTTCCCCATCTGTAAATGAGGACAATAGTGAGGACAAAGCCCACCTAGGGCACGGGGGGGCACATCAGATTTGATAACACCACCGTGGCATCCGAAGGGCCTCGCCAGTGGCACCGTGATAGAAATAAGGTAATTTTGATCCTATGAGTAAAAAGACTAGATCAAGATCAAGAGAAACCTGGATTTGAATCCAGAAAAACCCAGATCTATCCCCCCCTGGTGTCAACACCCCACAGGCAGCACCCGTGGGTGGACGAGTCGGATAACTGGTCGCCGAGGTAGGGAGGACACACACCTGGGGGACCACAGGACCTCCAGAGATGAAGGTGTTGGAAAGAACCTGCCATAGGATTTGGGTAATTTGGGGAGGGCTAAGGAAGCTGGGGCTGCCTCTGGATCAGGAAGCTCGGCACTTCTATGGTGGGGTGAGAGAGTAGCAATTCCTCACTTGGTGAGCGGGGGGCATGCCTGGTACTTTGGGAGTGGCATGGGGACCTCTGTGCTTAGACAAAACTATAAAGAGGGCCTGTTCTGTCCACTTCATCATGGCCTCCGGTGACCTTGTCTGAGGCTGGGTCTCTGCGAGGTTGTTTATGCCCAAGAGATCCAAACAGAACGACTACGAGTACTGGGCACTTTTTTTTCTTTCTCACTGAGACTGTGTCTGGGGGCTCAAAGACCCAGCCTGAGAGGCCGGGAGGAAGGACACAAAACCAAGGACCATGAGGGCGGGTCCTTCATTGATTCTACAAGGTTACTGGGCACCTGCTCCGTCTCTGGAGACACAGCGGTGACCAAGACAGCAAGGCCTGTGGTTGCATGCAGCTGACCTCAAGTGGGGGACGCGGGTAAGAAAGGAACACAGCGGTGACAAAGGGGACAGGAAAATGAGGAACGGGAAGGGCAGGGCTGCTTCAGCGGGGGTGGTCAGGGAGGGCCTCTCGGAGGAGATGACCTCTGCCAGAGACCTTTAGAAGGTGTGAGAAGAGCTGGAAAGAGCGCTCTAGACAGAGGGACAAGCAAGGGGAAAGGCCCAGAGCAGGGAGCATGAGTCAGGAAGGGCAGAAAGGGGCCTGTGCAGCAGAAGGGGAGGGGACAGACAGGGAAGGGAGCAGGAGGGCAAAGTGAGCCCTGGGGCTTTCTCCCGCCCCTCCCTCCAGGCCCACCCCAGCCCTACCCGCCACACCCAAGGAAGCCAGCAAGCCTCAGGCCCCACCCTTTCCCAAACAGAGGAAGAAATGTGAGGCTCCTTCGCCCTCTGCGGAGCTGTGTGACCTTCAGCCGGACTCCTTGGTATAACACGGAGACACCCGCCTCCTGGGGTCATTCTGGAGATCTGAAGAAATAATAATGCAAAGCTACGCGTGTGCCCCAAAACTGAAAATCCACACGGCCCCCTTCCACCTACTGCGGTAGGCCAGAAGATGTCAGCGGCCACAGGTCTCAACAGCCCGGCAGGAAAGGGGAGGGTGGCGTCTACTCCTCCACCCCCCACCACCTGGAAGGTTCCAGATGCCTCTCTGGGCCTCAGTAGCAGCGCACCACCACAAAGCAGTGAATCAGATATCACCTGGTCCTCTTCAAGCCAGGAGAGAGCCGCTTCGTGCTGGGCTGGGAGCCAGAAGCGGGGCCACCCAAGCCCTCTCTTGACCCCAAGTCCTGGTGGGTGTGAAAAGCAAAGGCTCTGGAAGCAGCCTGGACGGACCCCCACACCTGCTCGAGACCTCAGCACATTATTACAAACTCCGCAGGCCTCTGTTTCCTCACCTGAAGAATGGTGACACCATGTTCTGCACAGGGTCATTGTAAGGATGACAAGCCTTGCCTCTCCTCACCCTTCCTGCTCTTAGGTTTTCCTAAGAAACTGTAAAGGTCTTCCAGAACGTTTACTCCACCAGGCCAGGCTTTCAAAGGCAAACTGGTTCCCGGACATCCCCGAGGATCAGGGGCTGGCCTGGGGGCTCAGCAAACACTGCTGGAATAAACGTAGCCCCATGTCCCACCAGGGCAGAAGTTCAAAAGGTAGCAGCTACCAGCCCTGCTCTCCCTGTTCCCTCCCAAGCAACATCAGAAACAGAAATCCTACAGGTCTCCCCCCGACCTGCCCCAGGGCAGAGGTCCACTGTGACCTCAGGATCACATGCCCCCGTGGCTTTCTCTCTGCCTGGAAAGTCTCCAGGCCCTGGCCCCACTGTCCATCAGTCCGAACGTAGCTTACGGAACAAGAGACTAGTTCAAAGGTCAGCCTGAGTCAACTAGAGCCAAAAATAATCCAAGGATGCCTGACAAACCTTCTTTTTTTTTTTTTTTTTTTTGGCTCATGTGCCCTTTGGGATAACATGAGCCCCCTTCCACTGGCTCAGGGAAAGGCAGTGTGAACCACTCACAGGACTTAGGGCCTCTACAAGGATCTGCGAGGCCCTTCTAGGCAGGACTGTATTCCCATTCATTCATTCAGTCAGTCAGTCAGCACATATCTATCCCTCATGGCAAGGATGCAGAGATAGCTCAGATGAGGTCAAAAGGCTCACCCAAACCATGTGTTCATCACACCTGGCAGGTGCCTGGCTCTGGGACACAGAGGTGAATCCAACCCAACCTTCTTAGGGCAGCTCTCAGCCCTCCCGCTTCAGGAAAGAAGCATAAGGCAGAGTCTGAATTTGACTCAGTTTCCCCTAACAACCCGGGGTGCCCCTTCTGCTCACCTGGGGACTTTACGGCCTGGGCCTGAGACCCCAGCTGCCCCTCCCCACCCTCGGCAGGTACCAGGATCTGAGCTAAAAAGGCTGCAACACCAAAACACAGCCTGCAATGGGTGAAATTTAGAGCCTGCAAGCTCCAAAATTTACAAAGGGGAAAACTGAGGGGGCTGCTGTGAGGGGCTGAGCTGCCAGGGGCTGAGCTCCCAGGCCACCCCTTGGCCTCCACCCTGGTCCAAGGCACCATCAGCTTTTGCCTGGACAGCTACAACAGTCATTCTGCTCCACTGACTCCAAGCTCCTCTCAAAACTGCTGGAATAAACTTAGTCCTGCGTCCCACCCAGGGCAGAAGCTCAAAAGGTAGCAGCTACTGGTTTTCATAGTCTTAACATGAAAACATGATCAACACAGAGAGACGGAGGGTAAGTGCTCGCTCGGCTCGTAACTTAGTGGCTCCCCATTTTCTTCTACAATAAAGAATCAGAATCCTGGGACTTCCCTGGCGGTCCCGTGGTTAGGACCCCGCACTTCCACTGCAGGGGGCACAGGTTCAATCCCTGGTCCGGGAACTAAGATCCCGCATGTCACGTGGCGCAGCCAAAAAAAGAAGAGAATCCTTACTGAGGCCTCCAGACTCATTTCCCATCACCCCCACCCCCTCCCACCTCATCTGCTGCAATCCTGCCACCCTGGTCTCCCCACTCCACCCCACCCCCATCTCCCTCTGCAGGGGATACCAGCCTCGCCCTGCCTGGATGGGACCCCTATCAGATCATCTCACCGGTGACAACCCTCATTACAGAGCTCTGATTGTCTGCACTCCCACACTGCCCAGACCACAGTAAGCGTATGAGAAATACCTTTAAAACAATTAACACACAAGTGGACACCAGGCCCCCGGGACGGACAGGACTCCCAGGCCAGTGTTCTTTTGCTGGATGCAGGTCCCCAGCGGCTGGGGTCAGGGCAGCCAAGGCCAAGGAGAGGACTAGAAAGGAAATTGCCTTTGCTTCGTTCAGCTTCCAGACTGTTATCTGGGACCTGATAAGACCAATCCTCCTTATCACTGAGATAAGGGACCAGTGATAGAGGAGAGCTGAGAGAAAGTACGGAGCCCAGGGCAGGGCCAGGAGCCCAGGGCAGGGCCAGGAGCCCAGGGCAGGGCCAGGAGCGGGGGCCTGAAGCCCGGGATGAGCTGCCCTGGAAAACTTCAGAGAACTTTTCTGAAGCATTTACAGCATGCCTGGCATAGTGCTAAGTGATGACCTCATTGAATCCACCCTACAAATATATTACCCTGCAAACTCTTATTACCTCTATTGTACAGGGAGGAAGCTGAGGTTCAGACATTAAGGGCTCATGGTCACAGCTGGTGGAGTGACGGTGCAGGATCTGAAGCCAGGTTCCCTCACTTAGGAGACACGCTTTGGCAGAAGCATGGGGAGCATCTCAGACACCTTTGGCCAGCTGATGGGACAGGTTCATCCTCCTAACCGCCCAGCTGGCACCTCCTCTCTTCCCACCGGAGCAAAGAGGCCGTGCTGAGGTGGAGAGGGAAGCTCAGGGCTTTCACTGCATAACAATGCCCGCTAGTGGGGGAGGGGATCAAAATAATGCTTGATGCAACACATTACGTTTTCTATGTGCTGGCCACTCTTCAAAGTGGTTTCCGCATATGAATTCGTTTATTCTCCAAGACAATTCCACTATTATCTTTCTTTTCCACGTGGGAACAAGAGGCAGCACAGAGAGGTCGAGCAACCTGCCCAGGGCCACACAGCTGCTAAGAGGTAGAGCCAGGATCCACCCCGGGCTGACCTGTGGGCCATTCCAAGAGCAACTGTTCAGCACCTGCTGTGTGCCAAACCAGGTGCTGGGCACCGGGAGCCAAGTTCCCCAGGGTCCGTGTGCTGGTGCCGACTGCTGCCTGAGTGGGGATTTTGACACCTTTAGAAGCAAGTATTATGATCATCGTAGGCTCTACTTATTCTTTTACTCAATTTATTCACAGAGCACACACTGAGTCCCAGGCCCCCACTGAGCCACTTGTCACGTCATCTCTAACCCTTGTGCTACATGCCTGTTAATAGGATTATTCCCATTTTACAGACAGGGCACTGAAGGGCCAAAGGAGAGCTGCCTTGGCAAGGCCACAAAGTGCTGGGTGAGCATGCGTTCACCAGGGGAGGACATTCCAGGCAAGAGGCACCGCCCTGGCCACCGCTTGGAGGAGTGAAAGGGCAGAGTATGTCCAGGGAATGGTGGGAGGTACCAGGCCCCCGCCCAGCACAGCCTCTGCCCATCCCAGGGGCAGGCAGGCTGGGACAAGCACTGGGGGGTTTTGAAATGGGGAAAATTAGACAGGCTGGTGGGCTGAGAGGGGTCCAAAGTTACCAGGATTTCTGCAGGGGAATTCCAGCCCGCAAGCCCCCTGACACTGGGGGGTGTGGGGGGTGCTGAACTGGAGTCACCTCTGGACCCCGGCACCCAGCGAGGTCTGATACAAGAGTATGTAAGGGACAAAAATTAACATTTATTGTAAGCTTCCTATGAGCCCGGGTTAGTTCTTTTTTTTCACTGTTGTGGCCTCTCCCATTGCGGAGCACAGGCTCCGGACGCGCAGGCCCAATGGCCATGGCTCACGGGCCCAGCCGCTCCGCGGCATGTGGGATCTTCCCGGACAGGGACACGAACCTGTGTCCCCTGCATCGGCAGGCAGACTCTCAACCAGTGCGCCACCAGGGAAGCCCCCCGGGTTAGTTCTTTTATTTATTAAATTTATATATAAATGTGCATCTTGGCTCTTTCCAAAGAGAATTTGCAGAGGACATCCATGACAAAGTTAATAAAATAGAGAAAAGGGCAGGCGGGTCAGGGCCAAAGGAGACAAAAGGCAATCAATTGGGAGGTCTAGTGTTTACCAGCTTAAGGCCTTGGACAAGTTTTCCTTAACTTCCATAGGCCTCAGCTGTTTAATCCGTGAAGTGGGGATAGTGACACCCACATCATAGGTTGCTGAGGAGCTAAGTAACATCACCCACGTAAAAGGTAAATGGTAGCCCGTAGTGACCATCCCTGGGCCATCCGTAAAGGCCAGGTGTTTGTCATGATTGTCTCCCAGACTGGTTGTGATAAATCTCTGTTGACAAGTAAGGAATCACGTGATCGTTCTTTCATTCACCACGTTTGCCAAGGGCTTACCAGGTGGCAGTCACAGTTCTAGGCCCTGGGGACATATAATAAGGTAGATAAGTCTCAAGTGAAAAAGCAAGCTACAAAAATGGATTTGCAGGGGAGCCCATTTTTATATTGTTTTTCTAAAGCATATATATTCCTGGAATATTAAAAGGCTAGTAATCAAAGTGACAGCAGTGGTTACCTCTGTGTGGTGTAACCCTTTTTTGCTTTACCTGTACTTTGTACAATGGACACCTACTAATTAAATAAAAAGAAAATGTTCAATCAAGAGTATGTTTAAAAATTGGTTGAGATTCCTGGCACTCCAGGCAGAAAGGGAAACACTACAGAACATCACCCATCCCAGTTCCCCAAGAGATGGTTTTTCTCAGCTTCATGTACAAGACACTGAGAGATATCACTAAAAACGTCCTAAAACTGTTTCTCCATAAATGCAGACACGGCATGCCACAGGAGTGTTCTAAATATCTGTCGACTAAATGAACAAGTGACCAAACACCAAAACTGTTCTTCTAGAACCATGGCTCTCAACTAGGAGTGATTTTGCCCCCCAGGTGACATTTGGCAATGTCTGGAGACATTATTTTGTTGTCATGACTGGGGGATGCTCTGGCATCTGGTGGGTGGAGGCCAGGGATGCTGCTAAACATCCTGCAATGCATAGGACAGCTCCCACAGCAAAGGATTATCAGACTCAAATGTTAATACTGCCGAGGTTGGAAACCCGGTTTGGGGCAGCCGGCCAGCTGCTGTATCTGAAGAAGTAACATGAACTGTCAGGTCTGGTTGCAAAACGCTTTCTCTGATTGCAAAATGCTTTTTCTCCACTCAGGACGCTTTGTAATTAAGAGCGTGAGTCTGGAGTCAGACTGACTGCGATTTTAGTCTCACATTTGTCTTAAGAGGCAGATATGTTTCCCATCTGTAAAATGGTAATAATACAGGGCTTATCTGCACAATCAGGCCTATGGTACTTGATTGCTTGATAACTATTGCTGTTATGAGCTTTTTTTTTTTTTCAGAACAGGGATTTCTTTCTACCAGATATTAGAGGGGTTTTTGTTTTTGCTTTTGTTTTTTTAATGTTTAAGGCTTTCTTCCCCATTACACTGAAAACTCGTGGAAGGCTCCCATCCACGTGTAAATCCCCTGGGTACCCCCACACACACACAGAGTTTAGCAAACAAAGCACGTGCACATGGTAGGTACTCAGTAAACAGGTAAATCTATGTGGCTTCCATCTAGGGTCTGAGAGGGATGGTCTCAGAGTGCAGGGAGAGGCCTGCAAATGGGACCACGCTGAGGGTATAGTGAGCATGGCCCCCGTCCTCAGTTTGGAAAAAGAGCCCTTCCTGTCCATGTCCTCTTCCCTGTCCCACTCCCCCACAGAGAATACACAGCGGCGCTGGGACTCATCTGTGCCCAGGGCACCCCTGCACCATCCCTTAGGACACTGATTAACTCAGAAAGGGCATAGCTCAGCAGGCGAGACGTAACTGGTGAGTCCTAGAGGTCAGGCAAACACTGGGGGCAGGGGCTGCCCAGCTCTGAAAGGGAGATGGACAGAAACACGGGTCCATAGGGCTGCAGCCTCACCAGACTGTGAGTCCCTCTGGGGCAGGATCTGTGTGCTACCTACCTTCTCCACCAAGCCCAGAGGCAGAAAGGGGCTCTGAGAACATTTGTCGCTGAGTGGGCAAGGGTCCAGGAACCCAACTCCACAGTGCAGGGGTTTGCAAATCTGGGTTTGCAGGGCAGCTCCGCTCTGAAACTGCACCTTGGTTTCTTCATCTGTAATTTGGAATAACAGCTGCCCCCAGGAGAAGTTTAAATAAGAGTAATAATGATGGTCATGATTAATAGTAACTGGGCACTATGTGCCAGGCACTGTTCAATGCACTTTACATGTAGCAACTTATTCATTAATCATCACAATAAGGCACATACCCCAAGGACGTAGCACAGGTTTGGCACGTTCTACGCACTCCATAAGTATTATTATTCCACCTATCAGAAGAAAAGAGTCCTTTTCTGTGCCCAACACAACTTTTAAAAAGGGGGAGGCGAAAAGAGAGAAATAGAAATGCCGGTAGACAGAAGATAGGGAAGACCCAGGGAGGGTCCTGAATGTGAGACCGAGGGTGGGGAGGTGAGAAGCGAGTTGTGCTAAAACTAGAGGTGCCCTGGGAGAAAGGCACTGCACTCCGGCGGTGGGCAAATTTCGAAGATCCAGCATCAGAAGACGGACGAGTGATTAAGCGGCTACTTTCTAAGCGTGGGAGCCATCAGGGCACCGAGGCACCCCCACCCCGCAGCAGGATTCGGGAAGGGGGTCCCCCTAGCTGAAGGAAGAACTTTGCGAGACGGGGGTATAGCAATGGGAGGAAGGCCTGCGTGGGGGTCGGGCGGCATCAGAGGAAGTGACCCCCGGCGGAGGGGAGCCCCTAGGAAACCCGGCGAGGGTCTGGCAGGGAGGGAGTCCGGCTCGGGGGCGAGGGAGCGCCCAGCGACTCCCGGGACCCCGGGGCAGCAGGCGCCGCAAGGGGCCTCCCCAGGCCCGGTACTCACTCACCCGGCAGCCCTCCACGGGCGAGCCAGCAGGGCGCGGCGGAGCGCGGGCGGCGACAGCAGCAGCATCTCGAGCTTTCGGCACTGCTGTTCGCTGGACCGTTCGCCCCCGGAGCGGCTCTACTGCGCTGCCCCGCCCTGAGCGCACCACCTCGGCTGGCGGGGGGAACATGTCACCCCATCCGTCCTCCAAGCCAGGCTCAACCGAAACGCCTCTGTATTTACCTTCTGCTAATAAAATAATTCCCTTTTTAGGGCATTATAAATGACGTTATGTGACATAGGGCAAAATTGCCCAAAAGAGAAGCCTTGAAATGTACACACTTCCCCCTCCTCTCTTTATGGTATGACCCAGTCGCCCTCCAAAGAGGGCCGAGGGCAAAAGGGAGTGAGCTCCATCGACCAATCAGAATGATACATTGAAGCTCCTGGACCAATCAGAGGGGCGGTCATGTAGCAGTCTTCTTAGGCCGGGATAGAGGGGCTGAAGCAGCCAATAAGAGAGCGGGAATGGGGCACGTGTGAGACGGCGCGGAAGGACAGAGGGTCTGCCAGTCAGGGACAGCTGGAGTCCCAGCCCTACCGTTCTCGCTACCCTTGGCCAGTGGCTGCCAGACTTTTCTACCGTGCAGGGCTGCATAGCGGCCAGCCCCCTACCTCAACTCGGGGGCTGCAGCCCCTGGAATGAGCCTGCTGCCCCTGGCTCTAGCCTCCTGGTTGGGACTCAGCCGCCCTCCACCTCCCGGCCTGGCGCGGGATAAATCAGGAAGCTGGGGGCCACCCAGCTTCCTGAGGCCTAGCGCTTAGATAAATCACCCTGCTTCTTTGCAGATTACGATTAATAAGAGATAAAACCGGAGCCAGTCAATGCTCAGGCTTTCCTTCAAAGCCTATGGACGCGGAACCAGTTGCTCCTGTGCTTTATTTTTGCACCCCGCACCAAAATTTGAATTTTCGGGGAAGTTCTGCATGATGATTCCATCATCCAGAGGATGGAATCTTAGGGACCCATTCGATTCCTAAAGTACTGTCATAGCTTTTCTAACGCTCGCTTCTAATACATCTGTTTATATTTCCTCCAGCAGTGTGTACCGAGAACTTGCTTAGGAGTCAGAGTTCAGTTGCTGATCATGGTTTCTCCCTATGACAAGGGCGAAATACGTAATTTTTCCTGGGCTTCAGTTTCCAAGTCTGTAAAGTGGGGATAATAATACCCACCTTAGAACGCCCTCATTATTTCATGCTACTCCTTTCTCCAGGAGGGCACACTCTTTAAGGCGCTTTGGAGAATTTAAACAGAGTGGAGAGTGGGAAAGGAAACTACAGTCGTCCCTCGGTCTTGGTGGGGCCTTGGTTCCAGGAGCCCCCGCAGATACCAAATCCACGATGCTCAAGTCTCTTACATAAGATGGCACAGTACAGTCAGCCTTCCCTATTCCAAGGATGAGAAACTTGCAGATTTGGGGAGCCATTTGTACATTAAGCACAAGTCTTAGAGATGGTAAAAAGTTAATTGGAATTGGCAGTGGCTGTTTTTCTTCATCCTTGAAGAAAACCCTAGTCATGGGCCCAGTTCACACAGGTCAGTGTCTCCCTGAATTCAGCCATTAACAGAAAGAAACTAGAATATTGGACAGTGTCAAATCCAGAGCCTAGGAGGTAGCCTTTCAAGGGCACTGTGAGGAGGTTTATGAAATGGGGTCTATGTGATTAACAGGACCTCAACTCCAAACTAGGCTATGCCAGTTATTCAGTCTGGGATCTCTTTGGCTCTCTTCCCCTTCTGTAAAATATGTATAATAATTCCTGCTTTAACTACTTCCGAAGATTTTATTGTGAGATGCAAATATAAAAGGTGATGTGAAATTTCCCTATTTGATCACTAATCAGCTAATTATTTTAGTGGTTATGTAGCCCGCCGTCGCCTTGCCCCTCCCCATCACCTCTTTATCCTTAATTTTTTTTAATCCTTAATTTAAAAAAAAAAAGGCACCATCAATTCTAAGACATTTCACTTTATTTAAAAGAAGCCAATATACAGGAATATAAAGGGCATGATATTTACAACAGTACAGTAAACAGGTTGGTTTCCGGTAGGATCAGTAGTCTTTCAATGAATATAAACCCCCCCTTCCCCTTGACGCTAGACCCAGCTGGCAGACAAACAGCGACAGTGGGGTGGGATGGGACTTCAGGATAGAAAGTCTCCCTGGATGGGGCTAAAAATCAGGTAGATGCTAAAATGTCCACGAAGGGGTCTGTGGGTGGGGTTGCCTTTGCCTCACCTCTTTGAGGGCTTGGCAGAGGGAATGGTGAGGGATCTAGCCTGAGACTAACATGCAGCCCACCCCGAGCCTGGAAATCTTCCACTCATGGAAAATTCCCTTCCAGAGAGAATCTGCCTTTACCGACACCCACCTAGCTGCTTCCAGACTCCCCACTCTAGGAGAGTGCCCTTCTAGAACCAGAGTTTAGTGTCTCAAGGTGGAGGACCCAGGAAGCTCACAGCACCCTAGGTTCCTCATCCCGGTCCCTGGAAGAGCACAGCAAGGACTACATCCCAGGCCTTAGCCTGGGGTTGGCACAGCCAGGGCTGGGATGTAGGCATCTCATGGCATCTGCACTTCTGCTCCAGCTGCCTGACAACCTTGGACCCACTGAGGTCCAGGCCCCAAGGAAGCTGTGGGCTCCGTGAACCAACAGCCCATTGCCACCCACATCCTACTGCTTCTCAGCTCTCTCCAAATACAGCTGACTTGGCAATGGATCTTGGCAGACCAGAGTTTGAGCAACTAATCGGAGCCCATCTTCTGAAGCAGAGCTTGTCCCCTACTTAGTGCCCCCTTTCCCTCCCACCACCCACCTCCGTTCTGAATTCCCCACTGCCCACCCACTCCCACAAATGCCCAGCCCCCTGGACTTCCAAGGACCAAAGAGCTGGGGGATCAAGGGACAAGGAAATGATGTGAGAGGTGACCTACACTCTAATGAAGCCGCTCGTGGGTGTGGATGAGTAGGTGCTGATGATGCAGAGACAGGTGAGGGGTACTGATTATATTAAATCCAGCAGCAACATGCATCTTGTCCACAGAAAAATGCTGGACTACCATAACTGCCTACCCTAGATTTTAAAAAAAACTTTCCTTTCATAAAAATAGATGAGAGTCTCTTGCTTTATAAATAGATTACATTTAGCTTAAGTTACACCTTATATGATCCCCTGCCCCACACCCTCTCCCCCATCCCAAGCCAAAGTGGTTTGATTCTCCACAGGTCATATGAGCTACATCCACAGAGCTAAATCCATGATGGACAGGCCTGTCAGAGACCTCTAGACATACTGCCACAAGAAAACAAAATGTGTTTACTTGCCAATCATTTTTTTCCTGTTCAGAGTCTCAGAGAAGTGTGTGTGTGCATGTGTGTTCCACAACCAGGGAGCGCAAAGGAAGCAACTCTCCCTGTCCCTCCCCAATCCTCTCTTTTTATAAAACCCCCCAAAATAGGAGAGTGAGAGAGGGCAGCACAGGAGAGCCCATCTGAGACCAATTCTAAAATACCAATGTCAATATGACACTGGGCTGAGAAATAGAAAACCAAAATTACATATTTACATCTTTACAAAGGATGGACCAGTTCATCCCAACTGGACCTGGTGCTGCCCCAGCGAGCGTTGGGGTCTTTCTCGGCAAGCTGTGGGCCCATGGCAAGGGTACAAGCGGGGCCCACTGGCAACTAACTCAAAAAAGAACTTGGTGGGGAGGGAGGCAGCCAGGCCAAAACCAGGACCACACCCTGAAGGCAGGTCACTAACACTCTTGCTGTCCCCCCATCCACCAGCCCCAAGTCCTTGCTCCCCAGCGAGAACAGCTATTGAAAACCAGCAAGATGGATCTTTCTGGCCAGCATCTGACTCTGACTCCTGCCATTTCCATACTCCCCAGATAAATTCAGAGTACGCTAGTCCCCAAAGACAAATATCCTATGTATCCAACGGGGAAAGCAAAAATAATACCATTGGACAGCAATCACCATGGTAACCTTAGTTACCCCCAAATACTTACATTGTTGCCTAACTGTCTTAACTCTAAAGAAAGGTCTGTCACCCTCCCACCACCTTGAGGAAAAACCCGGGGCAGGCCTCCACTCTGCCTACCTGTCCACGGAATTCAATGCCTCCCTCACTCTGGGCAGAGGAGGCCTGAGAGGCGGCCAGTTTCTCGGCCTCCCAGAAACGGAAAATCTTTTCAGCAGCTGCGGTCCAAGCCCACCTGGCTCTGATAACCTTTGGTTAAACTAAAACTAAAACTAAAACAACAACAACAATAATGACAATAATAATCTGATATGTTTGAACCCTGTAACCTTGAGAACAAGTGTCAGTGAGGAGGAGGGGAAGGGGTGATCTCTCCTCCGAAACCTCGTCCCTCCACGTACCCAACAAGGGACTATTTGGCTAATAAAAGATTCTGGGAATGGAAGACTTTCAGCCAGACTTTCACAGGTAAAGAGCAGGAGGTTCCTCCACAAGAACAACAACAAAAAAGGAAAAAACTCACAATAAAGGCCACCAAGTTCTGATAAATAAAATTACACACAATCACTAACAATCTCCTCTCTCTCCATATATATATTTATATAATATGAATATTATGTACAATGATTTTAAGACTGAAAAACAGGTGGGGGAAACAGAAGAGAGAGGAGGTCCTTACAGATCACTGGTACCCTGGGAGGAAAGACAGGGGGCCTGATCTACACAAGGCCAGATTTCCCCCTCTGCCTGCAGACACAAGCAGTGGGTAGCAAGGAGCTCTGGTCCTTGGGCACATTTTGCTCCTCTGACCTCCAGGGGGAGCTCCTGGGCCAACAAAAAGAAAAATCCGCAATCACACCCACAGTAGTGGGTCCAAAAAGAAATTTAAAAAACGAGCAAAGCTAGCTCTGCTGGCTCCAAGCTGAGATCTGGGGGTGGCCGCCACACAGTGCCCTTTGACTCAGGCCCTCTCAAGTCTGGGGAGATATGGCTCAGCTGAACTCCCCAACTGGTCAATCAGTGAATTATGGGAAAAGGTGAGCTTATGTCCATGAGCAGAACAAGGACGGCTCTCACTCAAGCTCCTACTCTCACTACCTCCTCTCTGCCAGCAGCCCCCGCTGGCTCCCTCCCCTTCCCTTCCCAATGCCTGCCAGTGGCCAAAGAGTGGGCCACTGCGGCACAGTGGAGAACCAAGATGGCGGTGGATGGTACCGACCCAGCTCCAAGGTGGAGGGGGTAGATACCAGGCCTGGCCCCCTCCAGACTTTCTCACAGAGAAATTACAGATCGATAACCCCTTACTGTTGGCTGGGAAAAACGTCAAGTCATCAGGGCAATAAAAGACCCGCTCCCCAACCCCAACCCACAGAGGTCCCAAGAAAGCAAGCAGTCAGGTGGCCGAGGGCCTTATGGGGCCCAGGCCTCGCTAACGACCATGACCAAACTCCCTCCCAAGTCAGTGCTCACCCCCAGAGGTTGCGAGAGAGATCGCCCTAGCTTCTGCCTCCCTCCCAGCTCCAGGGGAAAACCAGGGATCTAGGAGAGGGCCTACCTTCCACAGTGGTATAAGGCAAGCTGCTTTTTGTTTTGTTTTTTGCATAGTAGTTTAAACACAGTGAGGTTCCGCCTTCCCCCACAGTGCCTTGTCCCTCTGCTTTGCCACTCAATCCAGAAAGAAAAGAAAAATTTGTCTTCCCTCCCTCCTTCCATCTTTTCTCTCTTTCAGTAAGTGAAAAACCCTCAGGAATTCCCCCACCCAGGCCTGGAAAGCCCGCAAAGGCCAACAGCTCCTTCCTGGGGGGAGGTGGGCCATCCCAAGTCCAACTCCAGCAGAGGAGGGAGGGCAGAGCTTATGGCCAATCAGAGGAGCAGGTGGGAGGGTAGAAAACGGCATTGTACCACTCCAGGGGCCCCCCGGCCCTCACCTTAGAGTTTTGTATAAAAACACCTGCTAGGAATAATTCTTTGGAGCTCAAAGTGGCTCAGCTTAAGGGAAAAGGCACAGTTAACACTGCATCGTCCGGACAGAAGTCTGTATCTGTAATGTGGAGAACAATAGAAATTGACAGCACCATTCCTTGGGTGGGTGGATGGAGAAGGGGCACTGGTTGGTGGTGGGCGGAAGGAAGGAAGGAAGGAAGCAGCGGTCCCTTGGGGCCTCCAGAGAAGGGAGGGCATAGGAAGTTTGCGTGGCGAGGGCTGGAGCCCCACTTCCTGGCCCCGTGGGGAGAGGTGGGCAGAGGCCCCATCACCAAGACCACCAGGCACGGGCTGGGGGACCTCAGTCATCAGCTGACCATGGGCTCCACATCCGCCTCCCGCTCAAACTCATCCTGGATCTCGTCTGTACTTCCTGAGTCGCTGCTGGCCATGGAGCTAGGGGATGGTGAATTCCTGGAAGGCACAAGAGAATGGGGGACATCAGAGGGCAGCCTGAGGACCTCTGAAGGGATTCAAAGAGCTGGAAAGATGGAGCAGCCATTCCTAGAAAACCTAGCCTCAGAGGGGGATCCTGCCCCGAGGCCCACCCTTGCACCACTTGCTTTAGAATCTTCAAAGCCCAGGAGTTGAACATGGCTATAGAGACCTATTGGGATGCCCTGCACCCGCCTCTGTAATTGCTTGGTGCTGAGAGCTCCTTGGGAGCAGAAACCACGGGTCAAGCTCAGTTTTTACACTCCCATCACCTAACACACGTCTGGACAATAAACTCAGAGCCCAAAGGGAGGCCACACAGGACAGTGGTTAATAGCACTGGTTTTGAATCCTCACTCTATCACTGCTGAGCTGGGGGGCCTGGCGCAAGCTATGTTCCCTGCCTACGGGGCGCTCCTCCATCCCAACAATGGAAATAACAACAGTGGCTTCTGGGAATCAGTGAGCTAAAGGTGACATGCTAATAAGCCCAGGGCCACACACACGCAACCTCCCCCTGCCTCTCCCTCTCTTACAGCCCAAACAACGGCCTGCAAGAATATCGTCATGATAAGAGAAACAATTATAATTAATATATCTGTGCTTCATGCCAAGCATTTTATGTGTATTATCTCATTTTATTATTAGCATGTCTGTCTTCCCCGAAAGGCTGCGTGTTCCTTGAGGGCAGGGGCTCTGTCTTGGTTCTGATGTCCCCCAGCAAATAAAAGAGGCCTGATGCATGTCAGTCTCCCAGGGACAGACCCATATGGCCTCGGGTTGGAAGACGGGAAAGGAAGGAAAATGGCTTCCTAAGGACACATGTGAGCCCCGGCCACCACCT